TCCCTCCCCTGTGAATTTTTTGTCTCAGTAAATCAAAACTCAGATCAGCTGAATTAGCTTGGATTTGGTTAACTTGAAGCTATTGGAATATAAGTGTAAGTCTGTCTTCATTTGAACAGGCTCAAACAAGAAGAGGAACCATAAGAACCAGAAAGTGAAGTCCCCAGATTACAAGGTTGCCTATGTGCAGCTGGTGAGTAAAGATGTATATGTTTTTGCGGTGGTGAAATAGGTTAACCAACACATTTAGGAAAAGGGGTCAGTGAATTGTCCACTGTTCTGTATACGTTTGGGATTTCTGCTTGCCTGTGACTAACAGCATTTTCCTCCCTTCCAGACATGATGAGATTTGCTTTACTAAGAGAATTTATCTTAATGATTTGTTTGGGTTTGATTTTTAAGTTTTAAATCCCATTTTGTTTGAGGCTTAAGTCTCTTACAGTCTGATGACGCTGAATGTCACTGTGCCAATAAATACCAGCTTGATGCTTTACTCTGGGCTGGAAGGTTCATCCCTTGTGACTGCTGAAATGTTCAGTAAGTGAAAGAATACACTATAAGGTCAAGGGAGCAGCTTAATGAAACTTTTTGGATGTCTCAAGTGGTAAGAAAAGTGTAAGTCAGGGGTGGCCAACCTGTGGCTCTGGAGCCACATGCGGCCCTTCAGAAGTTAATATGCATTTCCTTGTATCTTTGCACAAGCACACGGTGACCAAATGGAAGCTGGTCACTGTGTGCTTGTCCAAAGATGCAAGGAGGCACATATTAACTTCTGAAGAGCTGCATGTGGCTCCAGAGCTGCAGGTTGGTCACCCTTGGTGTAAGGCATTGTCTTTAAAGAGCTTTCAGTCATGTCTAACAAGTTGACTTTGTGGCTAAGTTGGATTTTAACATACTAGTTGGCTGCCCAGGTGGAAAGAGTGCTGAATATTCCGAAACAGACATAAACATAGTTTCCATATGAAAAATCATGAACGCACAAATTGCATTTGAAGAACATTATTTAGGCTGCAGAATCATGTACTGGAACTTTAGGACTGTTGCCTATGAAAACTCAGCTCGACTCCCTTGCCCCTCCATTGGTTCTGAATGAGGCAGGGTTTTTGCAGGGCTTTCATTATATCATTAAAACTATATTACAGTTTGGTCCCTTGTGAATATGTTGAATTTCTTAATTTATCAGTGCTTGGCTTAGCAACCTTAAAATATTCCTCTAAAGCTTTTTTATATGGAGGCAACAAGATTTTTTGAGAAAAAGGTGAAATAAGTGTAGCTATATAACAGTTGCCCAGGTCTGGTAGGTTATAGGTTTGATCTCCCCTGATTCTACTGAGATAAAAACAGGAGAAGACTGTGGTCTCTTGTGTCTGTTCTTTTTAGGTTCCTCTTTGTGATGGAGTTGGTTGCAAGTTATAGTCAAAACTCAAAAAGAGCCCTAGGTAGAGGATGTTCAAGGGGTGGGAGGAATTACACCTCTTGGCCCATCTACCATCTCTGGCCACTTGTCCTCTAACAAAGAGGCTGCTACTGCCTTCCACTGCCTTAGCCTCTTGCTTTGGCTTTTCTGCTTTCAGAGCCTTGGGTTCATTTTCATCAGAACAGGTTGAATGGAGCCACAATGTAAACCTATTTCACAGTCTTTGTTTGGCTTGGTCTTGTTTCTTCTTGCTGTTGAGTTGTGAAGAAATTAGACTGTGCCCACCAGCAGATTTGGACTCTTGAAGAAAGAAGGTGGAACAAAATACCCTTGTGTTGTGAAACAGATTGCTGACTGAAAGCATGCACAGGCACTGCTCATCTCGATTTAGGCAGCACCACATCTGTAAGGTGTAGCATTTAAAAACCCAACACTTCCCCATTATTTTGTGCCAAGATGCAGCATTTATACCTTGAAGCAAGGACCCTCTTTTTGTCCCATGCTTGTTCAGAGCCTAAACTAGCAGGGTGCCGAGCGAGCTATTACTAGGTCTACAGGTACTATGGTAGTAATAAGTGGTGCTGAAAAATAACTTGCCTAACTATCATAGCATGCAAGTTTTCTGTTTCCCTTCACTTTATTTAGGCTCCCAGTCTCCTTTTTCCCCTTTACTATCCTTTATATTCACTCTTCCTGCTGGCCCCTAGCACTGTCTTTACTTTCAAGTCTCTGCATGTCAGCTTCTCTGTTTCTTTATTTTGTTTTTTTGGTGCTGTTTTCTTCAATGCTGTGGTGCCAGGAGTGTATTAGTGTTGAATTTATGTCAGGGGGAAGAGGCTAGGACCCCCCCATGTCAGTTCTGAAACTAAAGATTTTGCTTTCATTCTAAATAATTGTTCACCTTAGGCCTTTACCAGCCCTTTGCAGTCCATTGTTAACATTGGCTGCTTATCTTAATTCAGAAAGCCCCTACTAACTACTTTAAAATCCCTTTTTGATGAGAATCACTCTGCATCTGCAGTGAGTCAATCTAACTAGGGGGTCAGGCTAGCCTGTTTTCCCACTATTTTTACCAGCTGTGTTTTTTCTAATTAATCCAGTTTCAAATTAAAACTGCCTATGACTAGGGAAAAAACTCATCTGGTTGGGAGTGTTTATGTTGGCCTCTAAGAACCACTAGGTGGAAGCATTACTCTTCCTAATATGACTTTCTTTGCTAGCAAGGGTTTTGATTTACTTATTTGAATGAACTTGGGTCCATTCTGATGAGACCAGTTATGCTTGCTGACTTCTCAGAACGTCAGCTTCTGCCCAGCACAGCATAGGCACATATTTTGAAAAAGAAAGATATAATGTTAAGTGTCACATGTAATCTACCTCTGTGTATTAGCACAGTGTCCAAAGAGTTCCCACGCATAACAGATGCATTTCTCTTACAAAATCTAGTTCTTAGGAATTCAGAACTGTTTTTTCCCCTCAAGCTGTACCTTGACTGATAAATTCTTAGTCCCAGAGTTAATATTCTCTCTTTTTAAAATTTGTATTGCCATTAATATTCCTATTTATCCTAAAGTCTTTGGTCAAAAATATCTTGTCTTTGCAATCAGGACTTTAGAGGTGATATCTTTTATTAGACTGACTAGATTTTTTCAAAAACATTTCTTTAATCTAGTTGGTCTAATAAAAGATATCACCTCTACCACACATCCTGATTGCTTTTGCCTCTAGACCAATATGGCTACAACCTGGATACCTTGTCATTGTAGATACTTGTTTCTTTTCTTCTCCCATTGTGCAAGGAGAAGTGTTTTGTTCTCTAAATTCATTGCCCTTGGAATAGAGCTGTTCCGTCTTATGCAATTTCATTTTCTTAACTAAAAGTTAGCCTATTTATCTTTGCAAACTGGCCATTCTGAATGTAGTATAACCTCTTTCTCTCTGCCTTGATAACATTTTTGCTATCCCATTGGCATCATCCTAGTTCTTGCCAATGGCGGATGATATCGGTGTTCAACGCCGATAAATGCAAGGTTCTCCACCTTGGGGAAAAAAAATGCGCAGCGTCCTTATAGGCTTGGCAGTGCTATGTTGGCTAGCACTATGGAAGAAAGAGACTTGTGGGTCATCATTGACCACAAGATGAACATGAGCCTGCAATGCGATGCGGCGGCTAGTAAAGCGACCAAAACGCTGGTTTGCATCCATAGATGCTTCTCAAGCAAATCCCGGGACGTCATTCTCCCCCTGTACTCGGCCTTAGTGAGGCCGCAGCTGGAGTACTGCGTCCAGTTTTGGGCTCCACAATTCAAAAAGGATGTGGAGAAGCTTGAGAGAGTCCAGAGAAGAGCCACGTGCATGATCAGAGGTCAGGGAAGCAGACCCTACGATAACAGGCTGAGAGCCCTGGGGCTCTTTAGCCTGAAAAAGCGCAGGCTCAGGGGTGATCTGATGGCCACCTACAAGTTTATCAGGGGTGACCACCAGCATCTGGGGGAACGTTTGTTCACCAGAGCACCCCAAGGGATGACGAGGTCGAATGGTCACAAACTACTTCAAGATTGTTTCAGGCTGGACATAAGGAAGAACTTCTTTACTGTCCGAGCCCCCAAGGTCTGGAACAGCCTGCCACCGGAGGTGGTTCAAGCGCCTTCATTGAACACCTTCAAGATGAAACTGGATGCTCATCTTGCTGGGATCCTATGACCCGAGCTGACTTCCTGCCCTTTGGGCAGGGGGCTGGACTCGATGATCTTCCGAGGTCCCTTCCAGCCCTAATGTCTATGAAATCTATGAGATATAAGAAGTCAGTGAGAGGTTTTGTGGCTCTGTCAGTGCAGGCAAAATGGGGGAAAAAAAAGGTATTCCCTCTGGTAAGTGTTCTCACTGGTTCACCTGAGCAGGTGTCAGCACCAGTGGGAGCCCAAGTGTAGGCAAAGCTTTAGAATCCAGCCCCCTTTTCAATTAAATCTGCTTAGAGGAAATGTAAAGGAATGGTAGTAAAAAGTACATGTCACCATTAGGACTAACAGCTCATCAGCTCCCTGAGTGATGGCAGCAGTGGAAATGTTTCTGTAAGTGTTCTTAAACTTTGTCTAAAATGTCTTGCATGTTTATTAATAAAGCAGATCATGTGTCAATTTAAAAATGCTCTCATCTGGAGATGAAAGCGGCTTGTAGGTTTTCTCAGTGCCTCTGAGGAATACTGGAGAAACTAGGGTTGCCCACATGCTGTGGTATTACTGTAGTTACCTCCTGTTCTACTTGGCATGCCTCTGTATTTTAATACCAGATATTAATATAAGACACAAGGAGTGACATTCAGATACATTTATTAGGTTATTAAATTGCGCTGCATTTGCTGCTACTGTTGGATCAAGTCCCATGCTCTAGGAGTCCCAACATTTTTTTAGCTGATGACATTGTAAACATCACTCTTACCCTAACTCTGAAGGACAGTAGCAAAAGCAAGTGCCTCAATTATCCAAATAATCAAAAGAGCTTACAGTTGTTTACATACCCAGTGTTTGTTGCGTCATTCTTATAGAACAGTTGCTTTTCTGGCCTTCCATTCCTGAACTTTTCAAATGACTGGAAGGTCAGCCCAGGTACAACTAGCTTGCACTGGACAAGCCATTAAATAGGTGTTTCTGGCATGAGGGTCAGCAGTTGAAAAGGTTAACACTTGACTTGAAAGGCCTCATTATGATCACTTAGCAGCTCATTAAGCTTACTGGAAGTAATTTTTACCTCTTGGTGTGATGTTTCCAACTGCAGACATGGGCAACAAACATTCAGGTCCTCCCCCTGCCGCCGCCCCCACCCCCTGAAAAAGACCTTTATAACTAGAAGAACTAGAAGTGTAAACAGAAAGTATATGGTCGTCACTCATCCCACTTCCCTGTCAAGTAAAATTAATGTTTCAAATGTTAAATTATCATTTCACTAGTGTTTATTGTAACTTTTATATAAATCAGTTTTGGTTTAGGACTGACAAACAGATGGACTGGATTTGTATGTGAATGTGAGTGTGGGGAGGGCAGGGGAAAGGTCCCCTCCCCCTTCTATTTTCTGTGGCTATCAGTGCATCCCAGAGATCTATCTTGTTATGCCCACTGGAGAAATATGACACTCATTCTGGCATTTTGGGCAGTGAAGAGTATTTATGTGACTCCAGAGTCTGGTCCTATTTTCTATCTTTTCCTTTCTCTCAGTAGGCAGCCTTATGTGCTTTGTCATTTTAGGATCTGGCTTGATCTGGGAAGAGACTCCTGGGTCCTGCTCCAGATATTGTGTATATATTTTATTCCATGACTGTGTTGTGCTGCAAAACAGGGGTCAGCAACCTATGGCCAATGGACTGATTCTCACCCATCTCCACAGTGCCCCACGTCCACAGCCCTCACTGCTGCTCTTTCTTATCCCCAGTGGAAAGTGTGTGACTTGATTCTTGTTGCCACATTTGCTCTTTCTCTCTGCTTTTGGGAAAAGGAATGAGTGGTGAGTGGCAGGGACAGTGGTATGTGGCAGAGGCAACAGCAGACAGCCTCAGAGGGGAGTGGTGGCTGAATTGCAGGTGGTGATCTGCTCATAAAAGGTTGCCAGTCCCTGCAGTAGCAGTTAGGTGGAGTTGGGTATCTAGGAAGCCCTTCTGGACATGCTGAGTAGGCCAGATTCAGTCACCTACAGATTCTTTTTAAGCCACTGGTCCAAAATGGAGACTGCTAAGGTATCTAGACATCTGGAGTGGGTTTGAGACTGTGCTAGGGGCTGGAATAGGATCATGTTCAGTAACTCAGATAAGTAAAAGCTACATAAGTGTCACTTGGTCATCTTAAAAGCAAAATAAGATCTGGACCTAGAATCTGTTGAGAAAAGGGGAAATTTCTAGCAAAACCCTAAATCCCTGCAGATCTGCAGCAATCAGTGGATTTGTACTGACCCATCAACAGTCAGGTGCCTTCTTACAGTTCCCTCACTGTGATCTCAAGATGCTCTTTAATCACAGCAGGTCTGCCTACATATAGAAGGACTTGCTAGTTTAGTTATATTGGCAGCCCCTCAGTGGAGACATTGCTTAGATGGGAAAAAGTGTTCCTTTTACTGGTATAGCTTA